ACAAATTCCAGGCTGGCCTGGACTATTTAGTGAAATCTCATCTTAAAAGAATTAGAAGGGGCTGGGGATGCAGCTTGGTGGTAGAGCACCCTTGGTTCAATCCCCAGTAATGGGGGAGGGGAGGGGCGGAGAGAATCTGCTTATCAGAAACACACACACACACACACACACACACACACACACACACACACACACACACAGTTGTCCATCTCAAAATCAAAAGATGAAAGAATTTATCCCCTCTGGAAAAGTTGCTGCCAACAAAACTTCCTCTTTCTGAAAAGCAACAAAACTTTCCAGCTTTTTTTCTTTTATCTGGATATTACAAAAATATTGGAAACCATCAAAGACCATTATTCTTGCTAAGAATCTTCAACCTCTTCTAATAGGAGACTTCCAGAGAAAAAAAGTCAGCGAACTGGAACTCATCAATGTAACCACTTGCCTAATTAGCAGTAACAGTGCTATTTATACAAAGTCTTTAATAACATGAAAAGTGTAATTCTGTCACAAATTTTAAGACATTTTAAATACAAGTGATTAATCACTCTCAAAAATAAATTTAGCTGGGTAAGAAATCCCCAACTCCATTAGTATTCTCTGACATTCACAAATTCCCCTTTGTCATATCTAAGGGTTTATAGGATTGGCACTGGCTTTAGCTAAAAATCAGTCAGACTGCTACATATTGCATCAAGCAGCTGCTCTAAACAGATCGATGATGATTTTTTTGATTCAATTACTAAGGGGAGTAAGAACTTTGGCACCCAGCAACGCTGTGATTTGCTTCACTAGAAAATGAGAGAGTTGTATTAAACTATTACTAAGGCTTCTTCCAGCTCCAGCTAAATGCAGTTCTACGATTTTACATGTTTGGAAAAGCACCAGAAATTGAGTCGATGCCGTAGTGTAATGTAGTGGAATGCCCTCCACTCCTATGCACAGAAAGTCCACGTTAAAATGTAAACCCACCATCTGGGGAAAGTGGCAATAAGATTATCAGCCAACACCATATTAGGAGTTAGCTTCAGGCAATCAGAGTTCCCAGGATGAGCAGTTGCTGGGAAGAAAAGATTGAAGCAGGCTTTATAAATCAAATGCCTGTAGGAGACAGGCTAAGAGCACAAACAAATGGGAAGAGCCGAATGGGGGTGTGAAAAAAATGTAGAGGTGGTCCTCAGCTCTAACTGATTGCTGCCTGAGGAATCAAGGCTTGGGGTTATCCCATCTTCAGACTTTTCCAAATAAGAGTGAAAAGCTATAAAATCTCTCAATTTTAAAATATTGGATCAAAATATTTTAAAACATTGTATAAGTCAAACATGTCTCCACACCAAATACACCTGAGAGTTTGGATGTAGCACACTCTACCGTCAAGGAACATAACATAGGGAAGGATATAACATAGAAGAGGGGTGGCGGGGAGGCACGGTAAATGGGAAGGACCGAGGGGCTAAAATGATGTGAGGAAGTGAGATTGGCTCCGCTAGGAAATTCAGAAGAGCAAGCAAACTCGGGGGTAAAAGATATCAAATCAGTGATGTTAAAGCTCTTTGGTGTGATTAACTCCATATGCTTTTCTTCAGGGATTTTCTGAGGAAAAATTAAATGTGGCAGGCCAAATAAGGACTCCCCAAAGATGTCCATGTCCTCCTCCCTTACCCATTCCACCCCCACCACTGTTACTTCATAGTTAAAAAAATTTTGCAGATATGATTAAATTAAAGATCTTGAGATAGAGGGATTATCCTGGGTTATCCTAATGAGCCCAATCTAATCACATGAATCCCTAAAAACCAGAAAATCTGTCCTGGCCTGGCCCTTGTCAAAAGGGAGATGCGATTATGGAATAAAGGCCAGAGAGATGCAATGCTGCTGGCTTTGAATACAGAGGAAGGGCCATGGTCCACGGAACACAGGCAGCCTGTGAAAGCTGAAAAAGCAAGGAAATGGATGATCCAGAGCCTCTGAAAAGGAATACAGTCCTGCTGACACCTTTATTTTGGCCCATGGGGCCATGTTAGCCTTTTATCCTACAAAACTGTAAGATAATAAGTTTGTTTTGTTTTAAGCCTCAAGTTGTGGTCCCTTACTACATTAAAATCGGGAAAAAAATCAATGTAGTATATATACTCTGAGACTTTGGCAAAAGCATTCCTACATCTTTCTGAAGCTCATCTACAGACAAAGACACAGCTACTTTTGCTGGAAAGAGCTCAAGGTACAACAAATTGTATAAGCTGTAGATTTGTGTGGAAAGATCAATACCTACCCCATGATCTCGAAAAGCTCTGAAATCCCACTTTTAAAAGGATGAATTAATTCTCTGAAAGCTGCTCCTTCAAGTCTCAGCCACATGACATGTGAACCCTTTGTGGCTCCTTGCTACAGAATGATTTTCCTTCTTTACTTGTGGGGTTGGTTATGTTAATAACCTTTTCCCTATGCAGCACACCCCCACCTCCAAGAAGGTGGCATTTTACACCTGCTGAGATTTAGCCTGGCTTCTTCCCTCACTCTCAGCCAGACCAAGGTCTGGCGTGTCCTGTTACAGTATCATGTCTCTATCAAGATTTTACTGGGCATGATGTGTCTGAACCTGGCCATATCCTGGCTTAAGACAGAAGAGGAATGTTATCAGGAATGTGAGCTACCTGACTCAAAGTTGTTTTTAGCCTCAGATCTTCTTTCACCAGTTCATCAAATTTCACAATCCCAGTAATATTTTGAGGTATGTATTGTTTTTAAAAAATTCCATTAGAAGGTCCTTGGGTAATGCATCATAATTATAATGAATAACCCTGTAGTTTAAAGGTTACCAACCTAATCTAAATGCTAAACCTAATAGTTCTAGACAGAACTGGCCTAGCATCACTCCCCATCTATGACTTAAGATCAGATCCTCTGACTGACACCAGTGCATTGAAGATTCTGTAGTGCTGCTAGTTCAGAAACCTAGATTGTATGAAAATCGTAAAAGTGGGGCATTGGGAGCTAGAAGAGGAAAAGGATTACAAAGTATTTTGAATCTTATAAAGGTTTGTTAAAGGTTAGCTGTAGACAAACCAAATCTGCGTGTATAAGGAGAAGCTGCCAATCAATAAGACTATGTTCTGGTCCTCAGACTTAATGAGAAAGGTCATTCCATACCTGATTTTTCCCCTCCATTATGTAGAGAAGGTCCAGGAACCTCCTAAAATTTTACCCAACCTATGTGTGTCTGGGTGTGCATTTTCTTTCTTTCTTGTGGCAGGTTACTATGAATCTGAGGATTTGAATAAAGTACAACTCCCCGCCCCAATAATGGAATATTTAAAATAGTTCTATCTTAAAATCAATATTCTTTGTTTTTAACTACTCATATGAATGATCTCCGCCACAGAATCTTACTAGATTTCAGACTTGCCCTCTGACAACATTAAAATTATCGTTAGCATCCCTACCATCAATAGGATATATTTAAGCAAACTAAAGAAAGTTAATTGCCAATACCATTTTTCCCTATCAGCTTCTGCTGAATGTCCACCCCCAAGGGACCACCATACATTCCACACACAAGCCTGAATGATTTAGTTTTGGGTCTTGTGTGTTTTGTTTTGCTCTTATACTATTTTGAAATATGCTTGGGAACTAGTTGACCTTATTCTTGCTGAGATGCAGTCCTCAGGCTAGTGCAGGGAGACACGGTCATTGCCTAAGTTGATTCTAGCCAGCTAAAAGTATTTTAATTACAATTAGGCCTAAAATAGTAGGGAGAATATTCTTATCCATGAGGAAATGATATGATTGAGTCCAACAGGTGTTATCTAAGGTCAGATAAGAATAAACAGGTAAGAGATAGCAACTTGTGAGGAGAGTTCAGAAGGTGCCTGTGAATTCACTTGGCTAGTGGGTCATTTTTCCTTGCAGGTCCCTACCAACCCTTTAGGGTTCTAGGATTCTAAATTTAGTATGCTGAACGTTTTAAAGCATGATTATAGAGCACAGCCAATCTCTCTGCAGTTGGTTCACTTAGACTGTGCTGCCTTAGGAAAAAAAAAAATCTAAAGGTCAAACTCAGAGGCACAACACTCCCTTTCCACTGAGTGAGGGCTATGATTACACCACACACAAGATCCTACAAAAACAGCTGACACAACTCACAGTTGAATTCTTTCTTCTGTTTATTTTCAGAAGAGACTTTCCATAGACAGCTGCAGTGCCAGTCTCCCATCAGAACGTCATGCCAACCTTTCTGCAGGCAGATTTCCACCCACATCCTTACCCTGGGTCCAGCAGATCTGATAGGCTACAAAGGCCAGCCATGGGTTACTTCAGAACTAAGGTCACTGGACACTTGGGTCAGCATAGAAGCATTAGAAACTATACCTGCCATGCCACACTCTGACATTTGTAGGTTCAAATTCTGACTCAGCCTTTTTTTCTTGGAGGGGGCACAGTACTGGGGATTAAACCTAGGGGCATTCTACCATCAAACCTTTTTATTTTTTGAGACAGGTCTGAGGCTGATCTTGAACCTGTGATCCTCCTACCTCTGGTTCAGTCTTTTATCTTGTGCAGTTTTCAGCAAGGGCCTTAATGTCTCTCAGCTTCAACCTCCTCCACAAAATGGAACTATGAGTGACTAGCTTTTTCAGCAAGTATAGACGGCTAAATGAGATCAGAGTTGAAAAGTAACTGGCATGATGTGTACACAGTCATCACTATTTTGTCATTATCCCAGAAGAAAATCTAATCCCTCTGCCATGAAATGAAAGGGGCAGAATAAATTAAATCAATATTTCTCCCCCAAAGGAGGACCTATCTCCACTCTTCCTTGAATCTTAACACTGATTATCTTCGAATAGAAAGGTCTTTACGTTTCTCTTTGCCCCTTCTCAGACTATAAAGAATGCCAAAGATCAGAAAGCCTTGACTGTATGGCGGTGGCATCACACAAGTTAGTACTTTTGGAAAACAAACTCCAGGCACAGTGCAGCTCCTGACAACAGAGGACCCACCTTGGTTGAAGTCGAACTGCTTCTTGACACCTGAAGGTGTTGTTCTGTGGACTCTCATGAACTGGCGTTCCTGTTCTGCCCTGGCACTCCAACTGGCTGGGCCCCACGTGCTCTGTCTCCTACAAGAAGAAATTGTAAATGTAGATGAGCTGTCAGCAGAGATCAGTTCCACAGCTTTCTGTGGCTGGGGGCCTTCTTAGGGCAGAGAAGCAGCCACATATCACACACACACTCTACTGAATATAGTGTGGGAAGGGAGAAATTCAGTGGTCAAAAATTTAAAATATTTCTATCAGTCAGTTGCTGCAAGATTATAGGAGAAAAGAAAAAAAAAACTGAAAAAAATCCAATGTCCAAAAGTTCTGAAATAGCCACCCAGTAGACTTTTACAGGCATTAAAGATAATGTTATAGAAGACAATTTAATGAATAGCTACATCTGAAAATATAATTTATAGAATATTTATAGTATAGGCTAATATTTGTAAGACAAACCTATGTGAATGTACATTTACACAGGGATAAACCAAATCAAAATCTTAACTATGATTAACTCTGGAGATGTCATTTTTGTCTCTTTTGGGTGCCCATATGGATTTTCTAAAATAAGAAATTTAAGTTAATCTGAGTTAACTAAGGAACAACCCATTTTATAAAATCCAAATCCCAAACATGATTGATATGTCCCCCTTTCACACATAACTATTGCCATTGGCTACACCGCATCCAAAAAACCACCATATTGGGCATCCATGATGCAATCCACTCATTGATTTAGAAAAACTCCAGAGTGCTAAACACTGGAGAATATCATAAACACACCCAGCTAAAAATAGTCTGGATTTAATACAAAGACTTACAAAATGAAAGATTTAAAAGTCTAGCAGTTCAATTATTATAACCATTGAAACTTTGCAAACCTCCAAATTCTTAGAATAAGACATTCCTCTTTACCTAATAAACAAGATAATAAAATGAAAATCCATAAGAAATTCCATAAATCCAGATGGTTACCACCATATAGTCAAAATGTTTGACAAGTGCAATGATTTTTTTTTGTTTGTGTAGTATATTGTGTTGACAAATAGATCCCCAGCCCTTGTACTAGGAGTTGCATTGAAGTCGATACAAGTGACAATGTGTCAAACGTCTAAGAAGTCATTTTTCTAAAATACTATAATAATCTGGTGGGGTTATTTGCCAAGTCATCATCACAAACTTCTGAAACAAAATCTTACAAATGCCTTCACATAAGGTAAGTTGAATGGTGGGATTGGTAGGAGAGCTGAAGGGAAGGAATGAATTAAATCTATTAGGAACTGTAATACTTCCAAGCCTCCCTATTCAGGACAAAGACTCTTTACATGAAATGTTCCACAAGCATCCACTTGTGGAACATGTCTAGTTTTATAGACAGTAGTTTGTGAGAAATTCTATAGCTACACAAACACTGGCCAACTTCCCCCACACAATGATTTCAAGTAAGATGGCTTTGCTTATTACTCACTAGGTATGTGACCTTGGCCAAGTTATTTAAATTATGTAGCCCTCAGTATCCTCGTCTATAAAATGGGAATTTTCCTTCCAACCTCACAAGGTTGTTAAACAAGATGCGATTAACAGCTGTTTTAGTGCCTGACAACTAGAATATATAGCAGATCAAAACTGTTGATGATGATAATATTCCTTGAGATATATTGGGCCTCAAGATACATAAAATTCCCTTAGAAAAAAAATCAACATTCTAAAACTTGGGCTAAGGAAATGCTTAACCTAATTTCAGCAAAAGACCTAAAGGTTTCTATATTAACATTAATATTAAACATCATATTTACAGCCTCAATGACTTAAGAAATTTAAGACTTAAGGCCTTAAGAAATTACCCTGCTAGTCTCTAAAAAAGTTTAAACACAAAATTCACATGTTATTAAAACTCTCCTCTTTAGGAAAGAACAGCTTGTTTTTCCAAAGACAGTATTTCATCTAATTCTTTGAGCCTTCAACTCATTGAGAAGGGTAGAAGAGATCACTCACTGCTGGATTCCCTTAGATGTAACAATTTATCTCAGAGATCAATAAGAGGGAATTTGAAGAGAGTAGTCTCTTAATCTGGTCAGAATTCTCAAAGCATTGCAAGAGGAGAACTTCTGAGATGGTGAATAAGGAGTACTTGGAGATGGCTGACAATCAAGTTGCCAAATCAAATGCAGAGAAAATGCAACTATCATGCTTCCTTAGGCACTAAGAATTCCAAACCTCAATGTGTGTGGAGATGGGGAAAGAGTAAGGAGTAGAGTGAAAATCATCATGAACACTGAGGAACAAAGCAGGCTCTGATGTGAAACAGATGCATGATGGCAATGACAGCTTGCTCTTTCCAATGTCCAAAGATCACACCCCAAAGTTCAGATCTCCAAAATCCCCTCCAATCAGAAACTCAAATCTAGCCTCTATCAGAAAATGATGAATGAATTCCTTCAAAGCCCCTATGAGCTTGGAAAAACCTTCTGTTTATAAGAAAAATATTAAAGATTTTCCATTTAGTCGCTTCTATTCCATTATCTCTTCATGAAATGTCCCTGTGTGAGCCAATAACCCCAGCAAATCTCACACGGGAATGTATAAGGCTTTAAGTGATTGTAACTTTAAGTCCATAAGTCTTCCAGCTAAGGTCCAAGACATCACAGAGATAATACCTCCTTGTGTCCCGAGCTGCTGACCAACATAAACTATGAAATGTAATAAGTAGTTATTAATTTAAATTTAAGAGTTATTTGTCACACAGCAGTAAATCTTTCCTCTAAGATACCAATAATGAAAAAAACCACCATCTATTTGATTAAATAATATTTTTAGCAGAAAATAATGCACACTAAATGCACCTATACATTTTAAGGTACTGATATGAAAAAGTTGAAAGTCTGAAAGGATCTGTGTGTTGGCATCAAGAAATCACAAATCATGCCTGGTAGAGCCTGGCATGTGAAAGACACAGTAAGTTGTGTCAAAAAAACAAACCCAGAAAAAATTATTGCAAGATTCCAATCTGGGGGATCTAAGATGGTGGGCCATAGGGAGGCAGCATTTTTGTGTCGCTCGACCCAACACCCCACCATGGGAAGCAGCCTACCTCCATCTTGGGTGCCCTTCCTCGCCATCTCTGATTGGGGGGCGCAGCTTCCAGATTGGAACTCCAGCTGGCCAGGTATCCGGTTTCCAACTCCTCCCTCTCCCCAGTGTCCTGTAATCCCACACAGTAACTGCCTAACACAAAACAGCTCAGTGGGACCAGGGCACTGCCCACAGAAGCCCCAGTGAGAGAGGCCCATTAATTGGGAACTATTAAGATAAAGGGAAAGGTTGCAACAGTGTGGAGACTAATACATCAGGAACTGGGAAATCTTGAGGCAAGATAGGGAGACAGGACCCGGTGCTCAAGTCAAATGAGCGGATCCAAAAAGAGACCCTTGTGGTGCAGTCTCCCTCAAGGGGCTGGTGGGTGCTACACCTCGCTTCCAGGTACCTTGCACCAGGACTAGCCCCCATCCTGGTTACCTTCACCATCCTTAGGGCGGAGATATCAGCTAACAGACAACCCCACCTATTAGATGAGAAGACAAGCAGGAAAGATACCCATCTCCAACCAAAAAAATTAATAATCCTGGTTTCTTCCTTCGAGATTTGTCTTCTCCCCTTCTATTCTCCCACCCTCACATCTCCAACATATGTGAAACCAAGTACTTTGCATGAATTAGGATTTTGAGGACTGGGACATCTTAATAGTATATTATACTTGTGTAGTATATACCTTTTTTCTCCCTTTTCCTCCAATTTTGTTACATTACATATAGGGGGAAACCAATTAGGATAACTTCAGGGTCTGGGTTGAAAAATCTGCAAGCTCGACAATCCTGGAACAACATGTATCAAGCTCTGAAAGAAAATGGATGCCAACCAAAAATCTTGCATCCAGCAAAATTAAGCTTCAGATTTGATGATGAAATAAAAACCTTCCATGATGAACAAAAGTTAAAAGAATTTACAACTAGAAAATTGGCACTACAAAACATCCATGAAGAGGAAATGAAAAACAACAATGAAAATCAGCAGAAGGAGGTATTACACTAAAGGAAAAACTAATCAAAGGAGAAACCAAGTCATTAAATAACAACAACAAAAAAGGCTAGGAATACAAATCATGTCTCAATAATAACCCTGAATGTTAAAGGCCTAAACTCACCAATCAAAAGACACAGGTTAGCAGGCTTGATTTAAAAAAAAAAAAAAAAAAAAGATCCAACAATATGCTGCCTCCAGGAGACTCATCTATTAGGAAAAGATATAAGACATACACAGACTGGAGGTAAAATGTTGGGAAAAATCATACCACTCACACAGTCTGCAGAAGCAAGCAGGGGTTTCCACCCTCGTATCAAATAAAATAGACTTCAAGCTAAAGTTAATCAAAAGGGATAAAGGAGGACATTTCATACTGCTCAAGGGAACCATACAGCAACAAGACATAATAATTATATATACTCCCCAAACAATGAAGCATCTATGTTCAAACAAATTCTTCAAGTTCAAGAGTCAAATTGACCACAATACAATAATCTTGGGTAACATTAACACACCTCTCTCACCACTGGATAGATCTTTCAAACAAGAGCTAAGCAAAGTAACTATAGAACTCAATAATACAATCAATAACTTAGACTTAACTGACATATATAGAATATTTCATCCTTCAACAAGCAAATATACTTTATTCTCAGCACCACATGGATCCTTCTCTAAAATAGGCCATATAATATGCTACAAAGCAACTCTTAGCAAATACAAAAAAAATAGAGATACTACATTGCATTCTGTATGACCATAATGGAATGAAATTAGAAACCAATGATAAAATAAAAAATAAAAATTATTCCAACACCTGGAGACTAAATAATATGGTACTGAATGAACAATTGGTTGCAAAAGACATCAAGGAGGATATTTTAAAATTCTGAGGTAAATGAGAATACTGACACAACATATTGAAATTTCTGGGACACTATGAAGGCAATACTAAGAGGAAAGTTCATTGCAAAGAGTTGATTCCTTAAAAGAAGAAAAAG